CGGATTTTATTTTTAAGAAGATCTGTTTAGATTACGGATGATGAAAAATTCCTGTGGAAGGACATGAAGGTTGATGAGTCCAAGAAGATGGCAAGAGAGAATATGAAGGATATAATTGCTGTTGGTTTTGATCCAGAAAAGACGTTTATGTTCAACGATTTCGATTATATGTGGTTAGCTGCATTTCTTTTTATCATTGTTTTTCGCTGATACATTTGCCTTCTTTTTAGCATTACATCAAGATTTCCGTGAATCAGTCCAATATTTCTTTTCATTTACAGTCCACCTTTTTACGAGAACATTTGCAAAATCTGGAAAGTAGTGACAGGAAATCAAGCAAGAGCCATTTTTGGATTCACACCTGAAGACAGTATGGGAAAGGTGAGTTACACAACAATTTTATCAAGGTTATTTTATTGTTCTTCGAATAGTTCCATTCTACTCTTCTCTGCATTTTTTCCCTCTTTTGGGAAAATTATCACGTTACGTGTAAGAGTTATCCATTTGTTTTACTCGTCAATACTTTTCTAATGAACCCTCCGTTTTCTCTGAAAACGAAGGCCTCACTGGGAGGTGCTCAAAATTTTCACATGAGACGCCAGTGGGGATGTTACTTGTTTCTGCGACAACAAAAAATTTACGCGGAAATTCCATAATGAAGGTTTTTCTGGCTGTGGATAATGGGCAGGTTGCACCAGTTATAATATAATAAGTGTCGCCTTCAGGGTGAAACATTCTTGAACTACAATGTATTTCTCTTTCCTAGCGTTTTCTTAGGTCTTTTTTTGCCGGGACACTTTTTCACAGAGCTTCTCCAGCAGTATTGCTGCACATCGGCTGCGGACAGGTCACCAGAATTAAGGTTGATGTTCAGGCTATCTAACCATCGCACTCCTTGTCGATATTGCGGACGTGTAATGACAAAGATTATGTGGTCAACTTTGACCCAGTAGAGTTTCATTGAACGTGACCGTACCAACTAACGTACTGGCGGTTTTCTGAACTTCGAAATTGTCTCTGTCATCGATTCCGAATGCAGTTTAATCTGTTTTTCATCGTAACATCTTCATCTTCATGGACCCACAGGCCCTTGTCTCTTTAACCATCTTTTATCCGTACCGGCTTGTTAGGTGACGAGTGGTCCTAGGTTAAGGACTTCAAGCATGGAGTTCATCTGTCAATTACACGTGTAATGTGAGCTTTTGTCCGTGATTATTAAGTTGTCTCTTCCAGCGGATGACATGTCTCTCAACAACTTCTATGCAAAATCGACATGAGTAAAACACCGTAGTGTTCGAAGAATGTTTTTATGCAGTATTTAATGGAAGCCCCAGCTGGAGATAATATTGTATTCGTGCGAAGCTGTCGCGAGTAGGCAAAAGTTTTTGGGTCCTCAACGCTCCGCACCACGAAGTGTTTTCTCGCAAGTGAATCGTCACTTCTTTCAATGAATGAAGAGAAAATGTTGTTGTAGTTAAGGAATTTATTATAACAAGTACAACTAAGGTCGGTGTCGCCTCCGAACTCTTCCGAACCACCATATTTCGTGTCAACCCTTAGGCTCATCGGTGAGGAATGGTCGAATAAAGAGATGTTCAACATTAGTGGTGAAGAAAAAAAGATCATGTGGAAACAAAATATTTATATAAAAGAAGAAAGATAACGAAAACGATAGGAGAGTTTAGTTGAAGAAGTTTTGCCATATAGTGCAATTAGGTTACCTTATATACAGGTATGTGATACTATATCTAATGCTATAGGAAATCTTCATTTTTCGGAGCCATCCCTAAACTCACATGCAATAGAAAACCTTGCTCTTTATAAAGTGCACTGCATAGCAATACCCAATTTTTATTGTAATGTCGGGCTCCGCACGCTTTCGTGTGTGTAAAGGGTTCCTAGGGGTGGTATGGGACGCGAAAGCAAAATTTTCGAGTTCACTCCTATCCACCATCATCATTTGACATCCCTTGCCCAGGACCGATTTATAAGGATCTGTAATGACAAGCTCCATCCACTTCTGTGCTTGTTTCACTTACCTATAGTGCTGAGGCCGAAATGGAAAGATCTGCAGACTACTTACTTTGGTACAAGCATCGCCTAGTGCGGTATAAATCGTAGGCACCCCTCAAAATCCCCCTTCCTGTTAAATTTTTTGATCCAAACCAGCTTACGAATAGTCCATATTTAGCTCGTGTATTAACTCTGCTAGAATTGCAGCTGAGTTGACTCTTCAATCTCCGGAGTGCCAGATTTGTTTTTATAGTGCCCTGATGGCTCTACCCACGTAGCACTTAGGAGCTCCAAGAGACCGTGAGCTGGTACTTCAAGTTCTCCTACGAATAGGCAGAGCAGCGCAGGATAAACAGCAGTAGCCACCCTAAGGATGGCGTATTAACTAAGAAGAGCATCGAAAAATTATAATGTACGCTCAGCCTGTGTAGCTCTAACGAAAGAATCGATCAAACTGAAATCTTGCTAAAATAGTGATTATGACGAACTATGCTAGGGTCCTGCGCAGAGTGCTACCATGCTCGTTAGGCGTTCTGATTGAATCCAGAAGAGAGAAATTCAACGAAATACTGAGGCAAGCCTGGGCTTTGTTAAGCAAACTTTCATCCAGGACAAAAGTAATTTGTTCCTCTCAGACAGCTTTTTCTGGTACAAGTAGTTTAACTTGTGTTATCAGGTCGACGCGGTTCACTATTAGAGGAATATAGGCTTGGATTTGACGATATTCCTTCAGCGAATTTTTTGTGGTGGTTTCCTAAAGATGTGGAGATGCGTACTCATCCTGAGTCCAGATCTGAAGTTTTTCTTCTCTGGTTCCAGTCAGAACGCCTAACGAGCATGGCAGCACGTTTCGCAGGACCCTACGCTAGTTGTCCATATCAGTGATTTTGCTATAGGATTTCACTTTCTATTCGCTTCTTTCGTAGAGCTGACACAGGGCTGAGCGTACATTCTAATTTTTTCGATGCAGTCTTCGAAGTTATACGCCAATCTATTCGGGGTGGTTCTGTTGTTTAATTCCTGGTGGCTGACGTTATTTCATATTTGCAGGAAGAAGTCACCCAAGCTTGCGGTCGGTTTTTAACTTGAAGCTGCTCTGCATTCAGTGCCGTGTGTCAGATGCCATCCAGGCGCATAATCAAATAGCAAAACGTCTGGCTTTCACTCGCGGAAGGAACGGAAGGAAGTCTTTGTGTCTTATTAGGACTAAGCCGGAGAAAGGAGATAAAGAAAGAGGAGATACTGTGATAGTTGTGCCACTATGAGAGCTCCAAAAATCACTAAAAAAAGTGCACCGCCAGTCTACGATACACGAAATCCTGAGACCATAAAGACATCATACGCATCACTCCTCATGTTTTCTTTGGCTACTTTGAAAAGGATATTTCATGTAGGGGATTTGTTTCACTTTCCCCGAAGACCAATTTGTTTGTTTACATCAGTTATGAATTGAAGTCGGCTGTATAAATCTCGGTCTATTCTTGAAACAAGTTTTTACAGGGCCTTCTTTCCTCATTGGTCTCTGTTTAATAGTATGAGGTACTTCTATCCACCATCCAAACAATATTTTTTAGGCGGCGTTCCCTGCCGTTGAAGCAGCGCCATGCTTTGCATCATCGTTCCCTCACATTTTCGGTAAAAAAGCACGATATTCCATGTTTGATACCTTGTGCGATAGATCAGGTAAGAGGATTTTTTTCTTCGGTTTAGTTTGTTGAAAAATTTCGCGAATACAAGGGGTCAGATAAGAAGTTTTGTCCATGTCGTACTGCACTGATTTTATATCGTTGCAATGATTACCGTCGTTGACGGAAGTTCTTTAGCAAATATTCCTCGAATGTCCCTCTAGAGGTGGACGCAGAGCCCTCCTTCACTGCCCTCACCGTCTTCAGAATATGACGTCATCTGTCATCGTCGTCAAGCTCAAGGAGGACCTACCGTAAGCTGCTTCAGCCTGAAGCTCTTACATAATTACTCTTGGATAAACTATAAACTCTTGGATAGCTCGCTAGATACATCAGCTCTGATAATTCAACCGTTCTCCCAACCAGCGTTTGAAACCGTCACAATGGTACAAGATCCATTGTTGAGCTCGACCAGTGGACCATTTTTGCAGCGCAGATTTTCTTGATACCGTCCACGTAGAAGGCCACTATTAAGTTTTCAATAAAATAGGTGTCTTCTTTAATTCTAAGTTGGGAGCATTCGGTTTGAATTTAGCAAAGTGTGACTAAATCTCTTTGGATGTGGTGAATGTCTTTTTCTTTTCTTTTTAGACTGCTCCCCCAATCATAAATATCATAATGGTAAAGTCAGTAGAGTGTAGGTGGTAAAGTGCTGCTCTTAAAGCGAGGGATCACGATAAGATTGGGTTGGATTCATAAAGGAAGTAGAATGCTGAATAGCGAGAAAGGGAAAGAAATCCGTCAAGAAGGCGCAAAATGGGACCCCTTTCTTTGCCCGTTGACCTCCGATAATGGACGAGCTAGCAACCAATTAGGAGGTCGTTTGCACATGTTAACCGATAGCCTCCATCATTCAGCAAATCATGCTTTGATTGATAACGCATTCCATGGGAAAGTTATAGGATACGCTCTCGAAGTGGAATACCTCATCAAAATGATAATCGAACATGATGCTGCTGACAACACATTGAAGGGCAGGTTCGCGGAGCTCAGGAAGGGTTGGCAGCCTCAGGGCGCTGCAACTATAGGCCGTATCTCAGCTGATCTGAAAAATCCACATCTCGCTTCCTCCGGCACCTGACTACTGTATCCACTGCTGCATGCGCTTTCAAGCTGCACTCACACTTTGTCGTAATTCGTCGCTTTAGCAGGAAGTCTCGCGGAGTATTTTCCTAAGTTTGACGTGTTTGTCTTTGCATCACTTTTCTAGTTTCGATCGATAGGTTTCAGACAACTGTTTAGTATTATACATGGTGAACGATCGACTCTGAGTTAAGTACAAAGCGTGTTTTTCAGGACCCATATTTCCGAATGACCCGAGATGTAGCCCCACGGTTGAAATTCCCGAAGCCTTCACTCATCTATTCAACATTCCTTCCTGCATTACAGGTCTGTTCAGTATTATACATGGTACCACCTTTGGGCGGAAGTGGTGTAGTGGCAAGTGGCACGCTTACCACGCGAGCGGTCCGGGGATCAAATCCTGGGTCGTGAGTCGCCCGGGCCAACCAAGCCTTCCATCCCTCCGGGGTCGGTTAATTGGTACCAGACTTGTCTGGGAGGATAAAAACACTGACTTGTACATCGGCTGGCCCCCGCAAGTCATTGTATAGGCCACATCGCATTCAAACGCCACTACGAATGTACAAATGGAAGTAGAATGCGTGCCGCATCCCAAAGGGATTGATCAACGGCAATGCTTTATTAGGTACCGGATATCTTAGTGTCGCTTTTCTGAGTTCAGGAAGTTTCGGGGCCGATTACCATGGAAAATCAATTTCTCAGAACGTTCTTTTTGCTTATTAATACTACGTAATATGTTGCTTATTAGTCCCTATTGTTACTTTACAATTTACCTCTCCCCCAATTTTTATACCTTTTTCTGAAAATTCCTGGGTTCATTGCGCAAATTCGTATGTGTGTACCAAATGCCATCAAAGTCGGGCTGGGAGCTACAGATCCGCCAACCAAACTAACATTGCTTTTGTTAGAAGGAATACTACCGTTTGGAATGCTCACCGGTTCTCCTCAGGTTTCTTAAAAGACAGTGAAGTTTTTGAAAGGATGCCTGCAATCGTCTTCAAAAAGATGGCCCTAGTTAAGCCAGCTGAGAAGGGGCTGCACCAGACTTGTGCTGAAATGGTAGGATACTTTCACTGTGATGGAATGATGATGCGCAAACATTCCTATGAATTTGATTCCGCAAGATATTCTGATAAATGTGCTCACCTGCCTCTCACGCGCGCTCAAAAAGGGTGCGTTTTTGACCCTATGTTGCAAAAAAGTCTCCGTAAAAAACTGCCCACTTGGGCTGATAAGTTCTAATTTTTCTGTCGTGCAATGCAGACCCTACGCTAACCAGCTGTATACTTACTTTGTCCAGGCCTTACTTTTTAGCAAGTAAGAGGGATGATTTATCAGAGGATGTCAAAACCGACCTGCCTCTCCTTTTTAACTCAAAAAATTCGGGTACCCCCAGGAGGCCCGTCGCGCGGCAAGAAGGCAGAGTCGGCGGACGAGTTGCAGCGCGTGGTGTGCGATGTAGGACGTGCAGTGGGACACTCTATTTAACTTGACGCGAAATCCCTATAGTACGCGCGCGACTCGTCCGCTGACTTTGCCTTCTTGCCGCGCGACGGGCCTCCCTGGGGGGTACCAAAATCCGGAGCATTTGGATCGTGCAAGCCGTTTCACTCCTCAACTGTTATAATGGGCTAAGTAAGTCATATTTAAATGATTAATAATATTCGGCTCCGAGGTATATGACTGAAATATTGCTGGTCCAAAACCTTTTGTATGCTATACGAAGTTATTACGGCAAATGCTTCTATTTATCCTTTTTGCCACCTTAGACAGCTAAAAATAGAGTAATTTTTTGTTTAGAATTCTACTTTCAGGGTGCGCAAACGAAAATGGCAGCTAGCGACTCAAACTCTTGTATTTACTTGAGCGATACCCCTAAGCAAATCAAAAACAAGGTTCGTTTTGAAAAAATAGATGACTATGCGTTTATGACTTACAGTCAGAGTGTTGTTTAGATCAATAAGTACGCGTTTTCTGGTGGTCAAGCGTCCATCGAAGAACATCGCGCATTGGGAGGGAATTGATGCCATTAGTCTACGTTCCTTCGATTATTTCATAGGAAATGAGCGGCAGTTTGGAAGAAATACGGAAGGTGACTCTATTATTTTTCTTTGAGAATTCTGAAGTCAGAGCTAGAAGGTGATCCTGTCGTAATTAATATCTTTTGAAAGTATCCGTTTTTGTATCTACAAAATAGGTTGCTCAAACATATTCGGGTACGGAACTTTTTTTGGTATTGCAAGCTTAACCCTTTGATGTTCGGGTGAAGAAGCTCTATGTGTGGGCGGAGCAAGCCAGCCCTCCATCCCATTAATCTACTGATTTATGGACATATTTGTATGGAGAGCTTGGACAGTATAGACCTAGAGTAAGAGCCGCTAGTACTCAAAGTCATACTGCATATACAGTCAAAGTCACAGTTTGTAATGCCTGTAAAATGCCAAATGTAAATCTATGCAGTGTCTCGGCAATTTGTCAACTTTTATATGGATCGTTCTTTGTTGATGGAAGTGTTGAGCCATCACGGCGGTTTTCTTTTTTTAAGTTTTTTACAAATCCCAGTAAATTGGCAATTTTTTTAGAAATCAGGTTTTATCTCGTAAACAAAATGAGATATGCCATTAAGCGTAGCTGAAAGCAATTTTCGGATGCCTCGAGTTTATTCTTTACGAATGTATTTGAATACAATTTTGCAAATACACTGCGACGCATAATTATAGTTCCACCTACAATTTCAGTACCCGGCTGGATATCATTTTCTCACGATACGGCGCTTATCTCAGTCGGATAGTAATCAGGGTTCCTCCCAGTCATATCCTGTAGCATCCTTGAGAAATTTGTTCGTTATGAAGTCACCCCGACAAATTCCAGCGGAGCTGACACTTTGACAATTCCTGCGTCTCTTTTGCTAGGATTTTCCTTTTACGGAAGTGTGACAGCGGTTTTGCCTTTGCTATAAGCTAAGGAACTTGAATGGATAATAATTCCAAATTTTGATTGGGTAAAAGCAAAATGCAGCGGAGAAGCTAAAGCGGATATTTTCGAAAAAATAAGGATAAAAAATTGTTGCTTTCTCAAACTGGATTTCCGTGTTAATATTCAGATTCGCGTTTATATGTGTCACAATTTATCTGTAGAGTCTTGGAACTATAATTATGCGTCGCAGTGTACGTGACTTGCGAAGAAGGCGATGAACAAATCGTTTTCTCATGCTCTAATAGTCTGATACTTTTCATTCTCCGATAGTCTGATACTACCGGAAGGAGGGCAACCTTGGATGGCTTGAGCGGCGTATTGTGCTTGTTATAAGTACCAGTTGCCAGTACACCATTCTCCTCACATTTCATTCCGCTATAAAGGGAAAATGGGAAAATATACTTATTTTAGCAATATACATCTGGTGAAATGCTGACTGGAGAGTTGAAGAAGCTGGCCATAGAAGAGGTCACAAAAGTGATTATGGATATGCAAGAAAGGCGGAGGAATGTTACAGATGAGACGTTGGATGAATTCTTGAAGATTCGACCGCTTAAGTACCAATATTAGTGTTAAGAATGGGATTTTTATGTACCTTTTCTGGTTTGTTTTTGCTGTCGTCCAATCTACGACTTAAGCCACGCTAATGTGGCTCCGTTTAACCAGCTCAGCTGTTACTGCATTCACAAGTCATTCCTCCCCTTGGTCGAATTAGGCATTGGTTTTTACCAAGCGCGATGTCTTCTCTATGTGGTCGCTCTTGCTGAGATGGTCTAAATTGAAAGTAGCCTCAAGCTAGTCCTCACGTTTCGAACCTTTTTCGCTGCCACTGCGGCGAGAGAAATTCTAGTATACAGCGATAAAAGGCAATTTTGGTTGGGTTTGACCTTAATAAGATTTGTTTACTTCTCAGAATTCTATCTCTATTTTCTTCCACATAAGGGCAGTTGAACAAGTTTGGTATTCCTTTTTGGGTTGCTCTAAGTTTAGCTGCTAGGAAAGGATTTTTTTTGCGATCAGTGATATTTCTTTTGGCAACTTGCCACTAATCCTGTTATTAGTGTTTCAAGTGCGGTTTTTAATCGTGCAAGTTGTTGTCTTATACTCTTGTTTTCTCATATGTATTAGAATTTTTTGCTATAATTAGTATTGTTCTAGCCTGTTCTTTGTCTGTTATGCTCCTTGTCGGACTCCTCCACCATCTGGTTGGCTTCAATTATGATAGCTAGCAAGAAGTCAAAAATTAATAAATGCGGTCGAAGCGCTGTTGTAAAATGCTTTTCAATTGAAGCCAGCTGGGAACATTTGGTATTTTTCTTGCAGCCTGTGATGTAATAGTCTCATGTTTGTGTGGCTATTCTGATCGACAATGCTGGATTCTATGGTTTTTATTGACTTGTGGCATGTTACTTTTGCTTTGTTAACAATTTGAGCTTCTGCATAAGTATTTTCATATCATATAGTGTGGGGAATTTTGTCAGAATTCATTTTTTCTATAATGTGTAATCATTGGTAGGAATTCCTCTTTACTCTTAATTTCTATGTTTCCCACCTGAAATCTATTCAATTCAAAGGAAATAAATTTTGCTCCATGTACGGCTT